GACCGTGGCACGACCTCGGGGTCGTCGCGCACGGAACGGCAGACATTGTCATTGGCTTTTACGTCCTCCTTGCGCAAACTCACGCGCGGTCGATTAAATTTCTTCGTTGTGGATCCTCGTTGAAGCAGACGGACTCTCCCGTGCCCAAATGATCGAAAGCACGCCTCGAAGTTGGGTATGCACGTGCATGACTCCTTGGATAGGCACTTGCCGTGCGTTTTTAAAATGAGCGTTTCTAATAGTCGGGGACCCATGCGGCCGATGCTTTAAACTGCATGCCATTGCAAAGTCCCGGACACGGGCGCGGGTGCGAATTCCATCACGTTACGCATGCTTGATCGCGGGTGATCTGTGGGTCGGCCTCCCGTATTGTGGACTTCTGAGTCGAAGAATTCACGTGGTGTCTGGGTGCGTATGACGAACACTCCTTAGAGCAGAGATATCCAGAGAGGTAAGGGTTTGGAGGGCTTGATTCTTCAGTGAGCTAAGTGTACGATAAGGAAAAGATAGCGTTACTTTGCGATCAGGCTTTTCTCATTCCTCTCGTGTACTTAATCCAGCAGCGACGAACTTTCAAAATTATGTGATATATGTATATAATAATCCCCCATAAATATTTTCCATTTTTCAATTGTTGGTATTATTTTTGTTTTTCTATTTTGCAGAAATCTTGTCAATACCTTTATAGTTTCGTACAATTCGTATATTAAGGTGAATACTAAACATGCTGGAAGTGACAGCTCTTCACTTCACGAATAATAAACTAAAAATATTGGCTTTTCGCGTTTTCCCTCGTCAACATATGTGGATGCCACAACCATTAAATTATGGTTGACCTATTTTAGAAAAATATCACGGCGGTAACATTTTTGAAAGGTGCCCCTAGGAACACCAGTACGACAAACCTAGGGACACACAGTACACAAACAAATTACCTCAAAAAGAACCTTTAAAATACTATTATTATTACACAAAAATAAGTTCTGATGTATAGCATTCCAAAGAAAAAACATCAATTTCACATAAAAAAAAAAAAAATTAAAACATGAAAAGTGCCCTAGGTACGACAGTTTCCCCTTCTACATCTAGAGCTGAGAGTAAATAATTTACCGAGTATCGAACTCACTCGCTTGAAATAGTGTACTAGTAAATTAAACACGATCGACTTAAGACCAATCTTTTTCTTGTTATCCAAGTTTAACTTCCGTAGTTTCTTAAATACCGTAGTTTTTTAGTCTTTAAATCTTATTTCGCCTTTAAAACATATTAAGTGAAACCAATTTTCAGTTACGGATGGGTTTCCACAATCAAAATTACTAGAGTGGATAACAATGATCTTTAGTACAATATTTTGAAAATTACTGAATATTTTACGGAATTGGAACAAACTGAGTAGAATATAATTATATTGTTATTTAGTAATTTCTGTGTGCAGGAATATGGGTATTTCTAGAATTATTTTTATTCCAAAACCGATTAATATAATTGGAGCGTAAACACAATAGAAATTATTTCAAGCACAAACTTTATTTGAGGTCGTTTACACGTCATCTTTAATTTACATTTGATTAACCATTCGTGAATCACAGATATCGATATCGTTGTACGTTGCAAATGTAGCAGTGGCTGAATTTGGCTGAATTTGCAATGAATACCCGCCACCACCAAACCACAGAGTAGTTTATTAGCATTGTAATGGAAATAATGTGTACACATATTGTACTCATAAAGTATTTTATGACACAGATCGTCGAAGACTGCCTCCACACATTCTTCTCCGATTAAAATTTCTCTCTTCTTGGCAAGTTAGGAGATAGACACTGTTATCCAAATGGGAGCTTCAACTTTTGAAATTGTTAATCCCGATTGGATAGTTAACAATGCGGCCAGATTGTCAGCGGGTAGAGAATCTCGAAGTAAAACGTCTGAAATTTTCTTAGTATATGACTCATTAAAGCTGGGAAAATTTCATTCAATTAAATGAGGAGGAGAGGAGTCTCTGAAAAGAGTCAAACATTGGGAGGAAGAAAAGCCTCTTTCATTTTCATTTATGTATTTAAATGTAATTATTACATCTTTTTCGAGGTAGCGTTGCTTACTTTTAATTTCCTCTGCAGCAGCGATGTGCAAATCAATGCTTTCTTTTATGGACAGGTTTGGCCCGCGGACACATTTCTGGAGTTGCTGGATTTCTGGATAAAATGTAGAGAATTTGACTCACTCCGTTGCAGGGGGCTTTAAATTTCCGCGACGAAATAAACGAGAAACTTTGTGAAGCGCGGTCAAGAAATTCTCGAATTTTCAGAAATATTCAAGGGTAATGTACCATGAGAAAGTAAAATGTTGCTTTCGAAGGATTAAGCCAATATTTTTAGTTTATTATTCGTAAAGTGAAGAGTTGTCATCTTCAGCACGTTTAGTATTCACTTTAATATACGAATTGAACATTTCATAGCATTACATGGAGAAAAGTTTCAGTGTGCCTCTTATTTCCACTAGTGTTCTTGCTCCTTCGACATTGGGTCCAAGACACTGTCGTAATATTCTTGAGACAAGACTTTTATTATCATGGCATTTGCAACTCCCAGACTTCCAATGGAATTTTGGACGGACAAAAAACACGGCTACATGTTCTCTCATCGGTGTGGTCAGTGAAATGCTGACCTTCCACGGCAAATACGCGCTCTGCATTCTCCCGGACCGGGCGCCTAAGAACTGCGCAAACAGAACAGTTAAATACGAACAGAGTACAAGCAAGCATTCCAATAAACTTTCCCCTGTTCGTAGAAATATCCAATATTCACATAGCTATACTTTACTGCTTGCCAGTACAAAACTGAACTTAGTGGTTATCCGTGGAAAGAGAAATCTGATATTTTTAAAAATGTATCAAAAAACAAATTCAAAAATATCAGAATACGTGTAAAGTAGAGAACCGAAAAATGCCATTCTTCGGAATGATTCGACTAAACTTAGTGATTAGTAATAGCACCTGCTTAATGAATTGAGTTAAGGTCGGTTTCATAAATGGTTAAAAAATTATTTCCTTACTACGTTAGAGGTTTTCCATGTTTATTTTTTATTCAGCTAATCCAGATCTTTACATCAGTCCATATAGCCCTTTTTATAAGGCCATCTAGTCATTTTTGTACTGTTGATTGTCTCAGGTGACTTAGTACACTACACGAAAGTAGTAGTTGATGGGGGAGTCTGAACAGTCTTGTGAAATTTTCACGTGTAAGCGATATGAAATGGAAATATCGCGCCTGTAATTTCCCTATAATTTTTTTTCCCATTTTTTCGCAGAACAGTACGAATTGCATGAGAATTTAGTGAGTGAAAGAAACTACCCATTTATTCCGCTAAGAAAACCTTATCCGCCAATCCTTCAATCTAACCGTACACAAGAACTTTCATGAAACTGGTTATGATGAATTTTAATCTTGATAGTGCAAAGTTCTAATCGATTATACGAAGTATTGAGAAGGCTCAAGCACAACTATTATACATTATTTACGGGATATTAAGTTTCGTGAATAACCAAAGTTCACTGATTACTCTTTAATCTTAATTGCACTTAAATACGTTTTATTACTTTAGAAGCAATTTTTACGTAATATATGTAATGTTCTCTGTACGTAAAGATTACCAATTTTTATTGCCATAATATCTTAATTCGCACCTTTGGCTCACCACCACACATTTCAGGATTTTAGTATAAAATGTGGTAGGATCCAACAAACAATCATGCCAACTTTCAAAACTCCGGGAGTTTTTCCACTCATTTTGTTTAATTTGTCTGAGCTATTAGTGCAAGACGATGGAAGTGGTCACGAGTGATCCAGAGCTTTTAGAAACGAAAATTTAAATGGATCACTACGGTAACTGAATTCGGACTTGAAAATTTACGACATAATTTTTGAACTTAAACAACTTACTTGGAACTTCACTCGCCACCTATTGCGTCAATATATTACAGCTAATTTTTAATTTGGATCACTTACAACTTAACTTTATAATTTTTAACTTCACAATTTTTTTAACTTTTCAATTTTCAATCTATTTCATGGCTGTGCACCACTATACACAACTAAATTTTATTGCATTGGTAATTATTTTACTTGCATTCTTTGAATTAGTTCTTGTGTCAATTTAATTACTGATTATAATTTTTACTTTACCCTTGCCCTAAGAGTATTGAAAAGAGAAGATGGACAAGGAGAATGCGATGGGCAAGAAGGAAATGAGCATGAAGGTTATCGATTGATTGCTTGTTAATGATTCCAGGCACGTTAACTACTAAGATCATTAGTCCCGTAAGTGAATTGCATGTTTTTGATCGGGAGGTGGACTTCCCTCGCTGTATGGTCAGATCCTCCGCCGACCTACTGTCGGCTAGCGGGTTTTCCCCAACCAGGTATCTCCCTCCAGTGGGGCACCGTCCAAGTTGGGACATGCTCTAAGCTCACGACTGGTTTCCCGGCATGTGTGGTAGTTTAGACATGTAAGTATAGGTAAGTGGCGTTAGGAGTGAGGATAGGACATGGACGTGGGTGGAAAGGTCGCGCGCGGTCCGTGGCCCGTTTGTTAAGGTACTGCACAGGCATTCGCCTGATATTGACCGGAGAAACCACGGAAAACTACCGATCAGCCCGCCGCTAGAATTCTCCTGCAGGAAGCGACTGAATTCGTCCAAGCTGATGAGCTAGTGATGAAAATCCTGCCACCGTCGGGACTCGACCCTAGGACCTCGCGGTCAGAGGGTTTGCAGTGACAACAGTTGATGCCCTGAGCCATCAGTGAATGTAATTGAGAGAAATGAAAGAATATTGAGATGGGCCTGAATGATATTGAGATGAACTGTGATGCTATTGAGAGGAGAACTGAGATGCAGGATGAGCAGCAGATGAGAGGAAGAAAAGACGGAGCGTAGCGGAGCGTCGCCTTGCCTTGATGTACTGCTGCAGGTAGACCAAGAGCGCGCGCAGGAAGCGGTCGACGGACTCGGTGTGCAGCAGATCGACGAGGTCGAGCGGCAGGTTGTTGACGCACTGGAACAGCACCACGTCGCGCACGTCCTGCATGGTGACCACGTCCATCTCGGTGAGGCGCGCGTGCCGCATGAACATGTGCCGGAACGTGGCCATCTCCTTGGGGTCGAGCGCGTCCACGAAGCGCAGCTCCAGGTTGGCCCTCCGCGACGCCGCCTTCTCCGCCGCCCCCTGCTCCTTCTCCGACTTCTTCTTCTTGGTCGCCTTGGCCAGGCTGCGGGCAGGCAGGGGAAACGCCCGATTGCATCCCGCGGACGGTTTTCCATGTAAATTGGGGACCAGCAGCAAAATATGAGTTTAACCCATATGTAAATTGAGGACCGACCCGGAGAAGGACATACGTAAATTGAGGCGTATGTACATAGGGGAGCAAAGCAGAATTGTTTAACCTATATGTAAATTGAAGACCGTCCCAGAGAAGGACATATGTAAATTGAGGCGTATGTAAATAGGGGACCAAAGCAAAATAAAGAGTTTAACCCATATGTAAATTGAGGAACGACCCAGAGAAGGACATACGTAAATTGAGGCGAATGTAAATCGGGGACCACTAGAAAATAAAGAGTTTAACCCATATGTAAAGTGAGGATCCACCATGAGAAAACTGAGGCGCGTGTAAATTGTGGAGCAAAAGAAAATAAGACTTTAACACATATGTAAATTGAGGACCGACCGAGAGAAGGACATAGGTAAATGGAGGCGCATGGAAATTGGGGACCACTCGAAAATAGGTTGAGGAGCTGAGGTTAGAACCGCATGGGCAGGATGTTTGTGTTTGTTCTGAAATAAGTAAAATCCCTCTTCACCGGTAAGAAACTGAAGTGTTCTTCTTGCGATTCTTCCTTACTAACATCTCTATTACTCCTTTCAGGCGCAGTGTTGGTCTGATTCCTCCTTCCCAATTAATAATTGCCCTCGACCAAGTTTAGCAGTCTGCGAGTACGCGGATGTCCCAAACTCAGCTGTTTAGTTCCTTTGGGAAGTAAACAATTGTTTTAGATGTTCAGAATATTAAATGTGCCGCTTAGAATTCCCATTTTATTGTGTCTCTCGGAATAGATTTTTCTATTACAGGTCTAGTAGAAACTTTTTGCATCATCAAATGATCTGCAGATTTGATTTGACGTCCCGGGAGGCTGCTGCTGAGGAAATCATTAACAACCCCCCCCCTTCCTACTCCTCTCGCATCTATCAAGACGAGAGCGCAAGAAAACGTGCACAATAGTGAATTTACTTTAGCTGAGTATAATCCAAGCAAGCTACCACCTCAACACTTTGACGAAGGACCAAGGGAAACTGGAAGAAAAAAAATGATGATGAAGACCAGGGTGGATCCAGAGACAACTTTTGGGAGGGGAAATTCAAAATGTTTTGGTCGAATGTGTGATATTACAGATTGTGTAGACTGTCACAGGCTACACTCACCTCATGCTGCGATACGATTTTATTCGCTTTAATGATATTCGAACTTATTTTTGTTTGAAAGTTTCGTGAGAAGTTAAAATTTTTCAGTAAAAAATAATTTTAGGGGGGGATTTTCCTCTTTTCCATCCCCGTGGATCAGCGCCTGTGAAGACAGTAAAGAAAGAAAAAAACGATGAAGAGATAAATTTTAGTATAGCTTGCACCTCTTGGTTTACGAATTGAAATCAGCGATAGATCTCTGGAAGAGAGCGGGTGATTGGGGAAAGCTGAACGTCTTGGGAACCGTGATGCTTGATCAGCCTTGTGTGGCGGAGCTGCTGAGATTACCGAGTTGCTGATTAACCAATAAGCTGCGATGGAGCAGCTAAGGATTAAGCAGAATTAATGTTAAGGGTAAATAGTCAACAAAATCATGCACTTCACGTATTGTCATTCACCCCGTCTCATTTTATCTTCTGAATGTATTTGTAGTTCGTTTGTCATCCTGCGGTACTTCTTAAGACGTTAACTATTTCGTACTGAAATAGTTGACTTCTTTCAACTTTTTTGACACAGAAAAGAGATGTATCTACGACTCAAGATAAAACGCTAATATTAGTTTATTATAAATATTTTTTTTTAGGAAACAACATTATAATTTTAAATGAGAATATTTTTGAAATATATTTTTGATTTTTAACTTGGAGTCAAAATTAATTACAGTTGACAGGGATATATTTTGGTTGTGTCATATGCCTATGTAATTGAATTAATCACGTCGTAGCCAGGGGTACGGAGTAGCTTCCCCCCTCCCTCTTGCCAATTATTCTTGTCATGAGTCCTCTATTGAACAAAATATATTACAAAGTACACTTTACATATTTTTTATTACCGATTCTTCTAAAGTTAATTCTTTGGCAACATTTCCCTTGCTGTTATTGTCCTTATTGACTGTTCACTGGATATTTCTTTCAGAAAAGCAGGAAGAGTACAAAATTGAAATCTTTAAAGCCACTGAAACTTGTGACCAAATATAAAATATTTTTTAATGTAATTGAAGAATCAGATTATTAATATTTCATATATATATTACTTTTATTTCATATATTGATTCTTCCTACATTTCATTAAAAAAAAGTTAATTGTTGTTGATTTCGTATTCATGATTAATTTATTATGAAATCTAATTTTAGAGTAATCAATTTTTAAACATTAATTCATTTTATACATTTTTAATTTGTTATTTAATTAATTATGGTATACATTATTATTTATGTCACATTTATTTATGCAAGTTTTTGTGTTGGGGTATGTGTAGTCCCCACTTCACCAATAACTTGAGAAAAAAATTACCTCACATTACAGGTTAATAATAATAATAATAATAATAATAATAATAATAATAATAATAATAATAATAATAATAATATTAAAATGTTATTTTACTTTTATCACACACAGCCTTCCCTGGAAAATTCTGGCTAAGCTCTGTTTAGAGTCTTATTACAAGAAGAACGGGTTAAAGAAGCTTAAGAAAAATATCTTTTGCACAACAAAATTTCAGTTACTTTTTAGAACTATGGTAACAACAATTATTCTAATAAAAAGACATTGCTAAATGTTTTAATAGTTTTTTGGTGTAGAATGAATAAACTAGAATGAGCTTGGATATGAACAGTATCAAAAATATATTCTTTATTTCTTTGTGTTTTTCTTGGATTTGGTCTTTCCACTTATAAATTGACAGAAGAACAATATAGAAAATAAATAAGCATTATATTTTGATCATCAGAATAAAACTGTATTGTTATTTATTGTTTTTAGAATACTTCACTTCCTAGACAAATTTTCCTCCTTTTACATTCAATATATCTTACAATCTTACAACATATCTTAATAGGTTAGGCTCCAATATGTAACACTTTTTCTGCACTTTTAACCAATATTAAATTACATGTGTTTCTAAAGGATTTAATACAAACTGAAAAGTTTTCAAGCACTAATCACTTAATTTCCCATTGCATCAAAAATGAAGAAACATTTTTCTTAAACATACACAATTTAATGTATTTAGCCTCCATTACTCATGGAACACCTGATTCATTAGTATTACAAATTACTTACCTTACAAAGGTTATACCTTTCTTCTCTTCATCCCATTCCCAACGCCCTCCTCCAAATAGGCTGCCATAAATAGACATGGTTGTAAACTAATTGGAATTATAACTAAAAATGTTTGATGTAGATTCTGGAACTCTGTTGCCAGAATACTAACAATTGAACTTTCAATAATCAATCTCAATAATGAACTTTTAAATTAAGATATTCCTATGAAAAATCACAATACCATCTTTGAAAAGTCACCAACTTTAGGCATGAGCTAGTTGGGTGTGGGCCCTCACAACATTGCAGTAATTTTTTCCCCCCATACATATTTAATAAAGTACCTACAAATTATTTCAATTTTAAATTAGTATTCATAATTTAAAATGTTTGTTATTGAGGTGTTATAAAGGATACTGCTTTTTACAGTTGATTTCAAGTAAGCTTTATCTGTTGCTCGTGTTGTTTGGATTGCTCGAATTAAAATTATCTTGTTCAGGAGCAGTTGAAGTCCTTTATCAGTTCCATTTCCAGGGAGGAAGTTGATACTTCATTTAATTAATAAAAATTGAGTAAAGAAATTCTATACATGTATCAGAAAGAATGAAGGTCTTTTATCTCATCATACATTCATCAACAATCAGTAGAAACATTGTCTGAACTCATAAAAGAGACAAAAGTATATATCTTCACAGTTTTTCCAATATACAAGCATTTCACTTTTAAAACAGCAGTAGTAAAATCATAATTCAAAAAAGGGGATACACTAAGTATTGTACTATCGACCTATCCATTTACCTTAATGACTAGATATGCCTTAGGGATACTTCCTTAGAAATACAAATAAAACAGAGGAAACCACAAGTTGCTAAAAAAAAATTTAATTTAAAGTTAATAATAATAATAATAATAATAATAATAATAATAATAATAATAATAATAACATATGTGTGTACTTAATCTATTTTACTATAATATGATACTACTTGTAGTACACTACTTAGGTATATTTATGTATAATGTAAAATTTAATGTTATTTAATATAATTAAAAATTAGAGGTTCATGTAAAATCTCATGATTATAAATCTACATATATTTGGAATGTAAGTTTATATGTGTAATTATAGCATGTACAATATAAAGTAAATGTGTTGTTTATTTATATAAAAATATATGGAAATATACTAAAGTGACATTATTTTTTGACAAACAAATTCCTGCAAGATGACAGATTCTTACATATCACAACAATTAAATCAATAAATTAGTTTTAAGGGCAAAGACACTTCACTAAGAGTACCCAATTTCACAATAAGGCTGCTGCGTTTGCGATTAACATAAAACATTTTTGAGTCTACCCAAAGTATTTCCAACTCTTCTCTTATATCCTCCAGATTCTTTTTATCTAGGAGGGTGTATCCTAGAGCACTTCTTAAAAATTTCATTTCCTCTGCCTGAATTCTACTTTTGTCTCTTTTGAGGTTAACTTTTGATTCACTCCCATACAAGAGTACAGGAACAGGTGTTCTTTTTATGTAAATTAATACCAGCATTTAAATACTTGTGTGCACATGTGTGTGTGTATTTGTGCATGCACCCCCCCCCCATACACGTGGGAAAAAAAAAAAACCACACAAAATGAAGTGTCTCCTAAAAGGTTAAAATGATTTTGGACATAATTAATCATTGTGTTAGTTAAGAATACCTTTATTCAAACAAGTGTTTAAAGAATTTAAACACTATTCATAAGTTTTCAATGGTGTTTAAATTATTGTAAACACTATATAATTGTCACCACTCTGTCAGCTTATTGGAAAGACAATTCATTAAACAAATTTAATTAATAAAATTTCAATCTGCTCTAGATTCTACTATCATCAAATCAGAAATTAACCTGTAAACAGACATGTCATACGACCCATCACATTTATTCTTTTCTCAATACACTTGTCCAATGTAAATATATAATAAAAGATCATCTGATTTCTTCACTCATAATTTTCATTATTTCAAGCATTTTATGCTCTTTAATTTCCTCAGGTTTTCTATGAATTGGCTATCTTGACAAAACAGGATACCATCGGTTTGCAATATTATAAATGATTTTTTATTTTAAATGTTTTTCATTTCCCAATTTTCTCTTATTCAGACGATATAATTAGAAATAATTCCTCTGCTACAATTAATCCTACCTGATGAACAAACATCAGGAGTTAGTGCAAAAACATTATCAATTTTACTAAAAGACAATAATAATGACTATGATTTAGAATTTCTCTAAAATGGGAATAGTCAAATATTGACAATTACAGGATGTGAAATGAATTACATATTTTGTCTTTTGATATAACTTTAATATCTGAAACTAGCATTTTACAAACTGAACAGAAATTCAACTAAGTTCTACAATTGATTTCAACTTGTTCAGAATAAAATAATCAGATACTGTACACAAAAGTAATACTGAAACAATTTGTACTTGGAATTATTGAACAGAATTCATTGTACAGAAAGAAATATTGTTCGAATTTTAATGTTTGGCCCGTTTCTCATCTTGACTTATATCATCTGTGCTTTTCTTTGCGGGAGATCCTTTCTTCAGCCATGAATCCATGAAACAGCCACTAGCAGATCTTTTCACTGGTGGAGTACTACAAGAAATAAACAATTTTATAACATTATTCATAACCTTTAATCAATAAGCACTTAGCAAAACTTTGTGTACCTTAAACTTATCCTTTTATTACATTCTTCATCCTTATTGCGAGAATTGTTAACAAGGGTAGAAACAGGATGCCAAGACAATGTTTTGGGAGGTGTTATGAGGTCCAAAGCTTTCTTGGAAGGTACATTTCCTGCATCTAGCCAATCCTAAAAAAATTCAGCTTGATAACAACTATCTGAACTTTCTCACACATTCTGTAAAAATTACTTCTCTTATAAATTAGTTAATCATTATAATATAATTATAATTAATTGTAAATGAGTGATTATGTAAAATTAACAATATTGAACTGTAAAAAAAAGGCTACTCACAGACACTTGTTCATCAGATTCCAATACAGCAGGAGTACGATGATGTAACCAAGAAAGCGTTTCATTAGATTCCATGGTAATTACAGTACAACTATAAATTTCTTCTCCCTAAAAAAGTTAATAGAATATTATTAAAAAGTGCATTCAGTGGTTAATTTTTACCAGTTAAATATTTTATAATTTAGTTCTGAATTACACACTTTGTAAATTGAAGTTAAATATGTGTCAATGTAACTTTTTTATGGAAGTGGTAAAAACAGTACATCCTTACATCAGTTGTTTTGAAAATCTGAAAGAGTCCAGCCATTTTTAAAAGCTGAGGTCCTTTCCATCCCTCACTATCAGACCAATCCGTAGTCCATGTAGTGGCAGATTCTATCTCCACCTACAAAAAAGGCAGTATTAAAATACAATTTTTAAGTTATTGTTAGTGAAGCAAATATTTCAGGTTTGTTTACGTTCAAACAATGTTTTCAAATGAAAATATTAGTGAATGTATAAAAATAGAATTATCAGCAATCATCTGACACATGTCTTTGATGATTCTAACAAAAAATGTCAGTGACTGTAATTTAATGTGGTGCATTACGTTTCCCAGCAAAGGTGAACAGGAGGATTTCTTTGCTAAAGTTCCCATTAACATACATTAACCTCCCCTGATGAATATAAAATATTTCAATCGCATTTTCAGAAACTTGTCCAACTCAGTGTTCACAATGATTCACAGGTGCAGAATTGTTTTGTTTATAAACCTCCTCATTTCATTAAGAGTTCAAGATTTCAAACCAATTGACTTGAAACAACTTGGATGTCCATATAGTGAATATGAATTACTTTCCTTTCATACAGCCGTATACCACACATATATAATTTTTTGTGTAGAGCCATGTTGCTCAAAATTTTAAGATTAAATATCCAAGACATTTTTCAACCATATTGATTCTTGCAACATGGATGTTTTCTGCATAACTTCATTCAATATTTGTTGTTATACGTATTATATATTATTTTTGTAGAGTATATATGATACTATATAATATTAATTTTTAAATAATTACATAATTCTAACATAACTAAATATTTAAATCAATTTTGCCAAACAAAGGAAGGATACAAATGAAAATCCTGATGGCAAAAAAAGTTTCCTAAACTTGTCTTGTTAAATTAAATAACATTAAAACTAATAGTAGATTATATTACACCTGCAAGTTTTCTTGAGCCCTGAAATGCCTACCCTCTCTCCCTTTCTAACAATAGTTGAATTAAGAATAAATGTTAGCGATGAGCATTATTCACAAAATCTTATTATGAGAAATGTTTGTTCCCATATAACAGAAATTACTTCATGTCAAAAAACGAGTGACAGATTTGATATATAACTCTGTCGTTGAAAAAAATTACCCCTCCATTGTCCTCTTGTATTCAGCGAAATGAGGGCTCAAGAAAACATGAGCAAATAATATATCTTTTATCCTTATTAATTATGGATTATCACAAGATCTCTGCTACCACTAAGCAGCACATCCCCAAAATTATGTTTCTGAAGTTTATGTTTTAAAGACAATTTTTTATAGCTTTACTGAAGATCATATTTTTTAATATGTTAAAAAAAACAAGCAACATACTGCATCATTATAATGATTTACAAAACACAAGTTTTAATAGAATGCTTTTGTATACACATATTTTACAGTGACAGAACAAATACTTATTTTTTCATGAGCAGTAAAGATAATCCAGTTTTTATATAAAATCTTAAATCTTATCCATAACCCTTCACTACCTTTTGGGATTAAAAAAATAAATAATTAATAATAAAGCATTTCTCAACAAAGGAGTCAGTAAATTTTGCCATGTTATTGAAAAGAGCAAACTACTTACTCCTTCTGGCTGAGGTCTGTAAATAAAATATGGTTGTTTGTTTTTGCTTCCCTTGGTAGTTTGCCACTCATAAAATCCATCACAAACTACCACACACCGAAGACCCTTAGAAAATGGAGGAGAGTACAGTTTTGATGATAGCATGTGTTCCAGTCGACAATTATGTGTTGTCAGTCCGTGTGTTTTTGGATCACCCTAATGAACAGTCATAAAAAAAAAACAATGATAAGAGACACATCAATGAATAAAAATTCAGTATTAATGATGAATTTATTGTAAATAACAATAACGTACTTTGTGCCAAGGTGGAATCATTCCCCATATCATGGGTTGAATCACTCTTTCAGATTCATCATTTACTTGAGAGCCAGATACTAAGACAGGCAACACTTCAGTAGGGGCAATATTGTGGGATGGTTTATACTGATTATAGCCGTTCCCCTCATTCCATTTAGGCTTCTGGAATTTCTTTCCAGAATTTGGGGCCTTGTACCCACAAGCCTTTTGGATGTCATCAGGACAAAGAGTGCTGAAACAATCAATTCCTTTCTGTAAAATTTTGTTGGCATTACATAGTGAATATCCTACATGATATTCACTATATTTTGTAGTAACAATCAATTATCATAACATTGAAATAATAAGTTTGAGAAATGAATTAGATTGAAAAAGCAGAGCTACAAATTTCAACATTTTGATTTCACATTTAAAAACATATGTCTCACCATGCTGCTCGACCACACATTTTTCCTAATTTGTTTATCTTCGTCTTAATCAAAACCTATCCTTTTCACATCTGAACAAAAAAGTGCAGAACTTGCGCAAAATAAGTGCGATCGGATGAAACCGCCAAAAATCTACAAAACACGGCTCAATGGACCGCTTTTCTATACTCCAATTTACGTAGTGACTTCTGATAGACGAGAGTTGTGACTGGGTTATCCAATCGGGAGTTTCGATACCAAAAATTTAAATCATAACGAAGCTCTCGTTTGGATAACAGCATCCAGCTGATCTGACAGAAGTCTCTTTATTTAAACACAAGTATAAAATGTGTCTTCGCGAAAGCCGGATGTTGGTAGCATGTGTAGCAATTTGACAACCTACGATCGCGTGTATTTCTATTGGTTCTATCTTAGAACAAATGAAAGCTCTGATTGTTATATTATGCCTGACAAAAACGACGACAGGTGTCTTTCGTGAAGCATGTGAAATCGTGTGGAATGTTAAGTCGCCACTAATGCTTGTTAATAATAACATTAATAAAGATTTGAACTTATAATTCCAAATGAATTGATGTTTGCAATAGTTAACATTGCAAAACTCATTAGTCGGGTGCACGCGTATTGGAGAAATCATTTTCCAGTGTAAAAAATTAAGGAAAATTAGTAACATGGAACATGTGAAGGAGTTGAACGATTGTGAAGAATTGGTGCCCTCAGAATTGGGAACAAAAGAGTAGTAAGTTGATAATTTTCAGTCTTGGGGTTCACAGCAATGTTCATAGATTTGCTAAATGTTATCTAATTATTGCAGTTGGGATAAAACATACGTCAACGGAATGAAACATTTCAAAGAAAGTGGAGTAATTGATGAAGGATGGTTTGGAGAAGACAGCAGTTTACGGGTAGTGAAGTCCGTAACAATCTATTAAAATTGTGTCACCCATTTTTGATTTGAAATCATTTTTGTAATTATGCACATGGTTGCAGGTGGTTACGGTCCGAGGAGGAAGTGAGAAAAAATGACAAAATTGTTGATATTGGATGTGGAAATGGATTGTTACTGCTTGAATTGGTAAGCTAAATCTGCTTGTATGTTCATAGTGTATCAGAATAGTAATAGTAATTGTGGATAGTCATGTTGACAATTTTGGGTGTGTATCATTCTTCCCGTTTATAAATTATTAGTATACAAAACAACATTTTTTCGTAATAACATTTAGTCAAATATATTTCCCTTTACTCTTGTTGATTTTGCACCAAATTTTGCTTTCCATTCAATTATGATTAATTAATAAAATTATCTAATTTAATTTTCATTGACAGTTAAATACAGGACAATGAGCATTGTATTGATTTTGAAAAATGCAGAATGTTATTCATACAAATGGTATATTTGTTTTATTTTATATTGTCATGGGAACATCGTATAGGACAATGGACTGGACAATACTGTAAAAGTGAGGACTTAACTCGTACTGTTCCCACTATAGAAGTACATTAAAAAAGTATTTTAATATCTGTCCATTACATCTTTCTTATCAATTGAGCAAGTCTGCAATACTTTGTGTGTCAGTATTTCATCTTTATATCATCTAAACATTGCCCCTAATTAATAGATTAACCTAAAACTGTTTTGTAAGTTACAAACAAAAGGATAAAACAAACAATTTTTCTGCCTCATTTGAAATCTCCATGTAAAGGCTTCAATGTGTGTGTTGTAAATTGTAGTTACTTGATTTGAGATGCCAAGAGAAATGAAGTATATTTGTATGTTGCAGGCACATGAAGGTTTCACAGATCTGACTGGTTTTGATTATTCAACTAATGCTGTGGAATTGGCTAAAGCAATAGCAACTCAGCAGGAAGTTACCATTAAATTTGAAGTTCGAGATGTCTTGAATGATGACTTGGAACCAGAATTGTTTGATATAGCCTTGGATAAAGGAACATACGATGCAGTCAGTTTGCATAATGACAATACCAGAGAAAAACGTGTTCAGTACATTAATAATGTTTGGAAAATCCTGAAATCAAAAGGAAAGTTTGTTATTACATCTTGCAACTGGACAGAAAAGGAATTAGTAACTCACTTCAACTTCAGTAAGTTTTTTTTAAAATCAATTGGAAAATAAAGTTTTAAAAATTATATTAATATACATTGTTTTAAGTTTTTTTGTGTAGTCTTGCTGATAGCTGTTGGCCATACCAGGAATTATTGCTAGAAATTATAGAAAATAACATCAAAATATTTAGCATTATATGCAAACTATTTAGCATTATATGTAAACTATTTATACTGCAGGAAAGTATACTTTGAGATTGACAATTGTCATTGTTCCAATGGTTACATGGCAGGCTCCGGGCATGAGTTGCAGCTCCAGCTGACATGTGTTGCCAATGGAATAAGAATGTCCTCACATGTGTGACTCAAGACAAATCTAGTTTCTGGTGTATGTTGTTGTGGAAAAGTGTCTTGGATTCTAATGAAAACTAGACTCTCTAGAAAAAAATGAATAACATTTCCATTTAAAGGATATTATCGCATAGGAAATTCTTCCAGATACACAACAGCTTGTGCTATTGGCAAAACTGCACAATGTGCTTGCTGACTTACAGTACCAAAGAAAGATTTCCTGAAGTATAGATGTGCCTCTCTGAGTTGTGAATTTGAAGGATACTACCTAACATTAGTATTCATATTTATTTTATTGTTATATTATTGCTACTATTTTGTGTATTTTCAATAATGGAAATTTTTCAGGATTTTCTTTACATCATGTCATACCTACACCTTCATTCAAGTTTGGTGGAAAAACTGGCAACGTAGTAACCTCAGTAATATTTGAAAAAAGAGAAGACATCCTGTAATATCAATTACGAAAAGCAAGTTATTTATGGTGAGATTACTGGTAGAAATTATGTATTTTATTTATTCATTGTATTTTCAAATGAATTGAAGACTCTTTTGTGCTAGCCTTCACCTGTTCAATTTAGATAAAAATTTAGAGGGCTTGAAACATATTTGTTGTCTTGTAATGGCAAATTTTCAAGTAATAGAAACCTTTGTAAGTGAAATACAGAATTTTGGATAACATGTAGAATGATAGGTACGAAATTATATTCAGCACAGTGCCTTCTTCTTTTGCACAAACCATTTTTGTAGCATATTTATATATACATCAAGTTGATCTTATTGTTTTGTAAATTGCAGTGATTGTTACAGTTTTATAATTAAACTATTGAAATAATACTGTTAAAAGGTTAATAAACTTTTGAAAGTTGCTCTGATCATGTTTCTTATTGTCCTTGTGCTAAGTATGTATGTGTGTGTGTGTGTGTGTGTATGTATGTTTTTATGTATGTATATATATACATACGTGTATACGTATGTATATATATATATACATACATACATGTATACGTATGTGTGTGTGTATGTATATATATATACACACACATACACATATATAATATGTATGAATGTGAATGCTGACTTATCGCTAGTCGGGTATATAAGGAAATAAATGGCTGTTGGTATATACCAGATCAATAAACTCTGACACTGTGTGACTGATCACCATGAAAGTTGGGGCATCTGTCTTTTTTCACGGAGAAGGTTTTTATGCTGTTTATTTTATTATAACTCCACTTAGTGGCGCTCCAGCATAAGATGGCACTTCATTTTAATTCAATTTCCATTCTATCTGATCTCCACCAGAACTTCATTGTTGCTGGGCGTTGCCGTGGGACACAGGGTTAGGCAAAAGAGGACATGGCCGGTGGCTTGCGAGAGAGAGAGGAACAGAGAGATTTAGACAAAGTGCAAGGGAGACAGAGATAGACAGTGGCTGAAAGGGAGAGAGGGGAAAGAGAGAGAGAGACAGACCGACAGACGCTATTACTTGATAAAATAAAAAGTATATGCGGATGAATACTATGATGATCTGTAAAGGTTTTTTAAAAGTTCTACAATCTTGGGTCATTAATACATTCTCACATACTTGAAATTGTGTACTGAATTTTTGGGATGGTATAAACTTTGTTGTAAAGACAGGGTTCAGCCCAATGAAATCCATTCAGTTGAGAGTCTATTGTAGTCAATTCAATTTTAATTTTACATAGCTTTCACGATTCTGAATGTTTCTAACAACCTCTGGTACAGAGTGAGGTATTCAGAAGCACTAAACCTCCAAAGGTGTATAAAAGGTCCAGACAGGTCACGTTTCTTAGATTACATTTGAGGTACAGTTATGGGACTTTCAGAGCCTTCAGTGATTTCTATGTATGTTTATTAAACCTTACAAACATTGATGTATGTACTTCACAAAAGAATCATTATTATTATAAGTACACATTACTACCATGTAAAAGATGCATTTATCACATTATCACAAGGTATCCCAATTATAATTATTGATGGAATGTAAGGTGAAGATACTGAACAGAATGAAAATTGGAAGATAGAGAATTTCAAACAATCAATTAAGTCATTTACAGAAAGGTCTAACTTATCAATATCAAGTCTTAAAAAATTGCACTTTTTTGTGATTGGATTGTTAGATGCATATGCAGAATTATAATAGCATGAAGGCCTGTATTGCACTCTTTGCAATCTATTAATGTTTACATTTAAGTGTGGTGACCAAAAAGTAGAGGCAAACAAGCAATGTTATCTAAGGTAAAATATAGATTTTGCAATGCCACATATTTCTTTGAAAGTTCTTTTAATTAAACCAAGTTGTAATGATTTATTGATATCAATTTGTTTGTTAAAACAGTTAACTGGTATATGTTAAGTGTGAGTGTCTATTTTGTAATTAAAAGTTAATCCAAGAATCATTTGATATTTTGAGATAATCAAAGCTCAAATATTTCTAGAAGAAAGTTATATTTTTCAACGAAATGATCTAACACGAAGTTTCGTGTGTATGTTAAACAAATCTTAAGGTGTTACAAAATCAAGTTCGCTATGCGAATTGGATTACACATTTACATTTTCTCGTGCACCACTTATGCAGTGCAGAGAAAGCAATGTAATGCCGTGGGGAAAAAAAACCGGTGATTTTCGAACAGAAAAATTCTTCTTGTTGCGCCCAGCCTGCAGAACCATGAGATCTTCAGATCGATTTGGGAATGTCAATTTTAGAGAAAATGTCTGAGCGGTAGGCTAGCGATGATCACAGCCAGACAGACACACAATCTGCTGTGAATTGAGTTTGCAGTATCAAGGACCCACAAAACATGGTTTCTGACTGGCTACACAGTGTTTTTTATGAAATGTATTCATCGTGAGTGCCTTGCGGCCCACTATTTGTCTTGAGCTTTCGCCTTTTGCACTGTCGCTCCCTCCTTATTGTCCCAGGGCCGAACGGGGGGGGGGGCTCCCGAAGGCTGCGGATTTTCCAGTGTGTTAGAAGACGTAATTTATTACAAATATGAACAGATTTATCCACTTTTTCATTACCAAGGCCCGGCAATAAGAGCTTTTCTGTCAAAAAGTCCCTGTTTTCCAGTGCACGAATCCCATACTTTCTCTTCTTATGAAGGCAAAAAAATCAACAGAAAGAAAACAAAATTCTTTGTTATAGCCTAATAAAGCGTTTGATAGCTAACAGTGAGAAATGAGTTGGACTGATGGCAATGATTTCTTTTATCAGCTTTTCCCAAAAATATTTAAGTTATGTGCAGCTAGAAACAAGATTTTCAGAACAAAAATATTCTCAGACGGAATATTGATCTGAAAATCAAAATAAGCAAAGCAGGTTTATTTTCTTTTCTTGAAAATTAAAATGGCAACAAAAATGCATTTCTGCGCGGGCGTATAGGGTACTTGGTGAATAATGATTAACTATTGAGGGTGGAAGAACAGACGTGAGCTTACAATCCAATTAAAATTTCTAGAGAATTGACAGCTCTCGACTTGTCAAGGAGATGAGTTTCCATTTTTCGTTCCAGAATCTTCAATATCTAATGATTTCAAACAATGATGTCAAAGTTCTTTGATGAACAAATGACTCTCCGATTGAGTGAAAGTTAAAAAGTCCCCCCCTCCCCACATTCTTCCTGTAGTAGTTTAATGTGTTTTCCTGTCGGTATTTTCTGTAGTTATTGCATTATTAATGCAAGTTATCGTTCTGTTATATACTTTTTTGTTGCTTACACTTAGGTGAATATCGCACATAAAATGTTAATTTGTATAACTAGAGCCTGGAAGTTTCGGCAATATTTTTTAACCTTAAATATGCAGGCAGAAAGGTAATTATTTTATTTTACTAGGCTGTCCGAGTGACCGGCGTCGAAACGTCGGCACCTTCGCCATGGACGCGGCGTCACCCGGACAGCCTAGTAAATACTGACTCCGGCCGCGGAATCCTACACTCTCAGGTATTTATTTTTACTAAAATTGGTATGCAAGAAGACATTTATTCTAGCTAAAGTAGGGGTGCAAAAAGACAGGTAAATAATGACAAGTAAAATTTAAAAGGAATTTGTGTAAAAAATTTATAATCAAAATAATTCAATTTTTTATTCTAACTCTAAAATCTACATTAACACTTAAAACGCAAGGAAATATTTTCTTTGTAATCTTAATCCACGTGACAACCCTCTGTGATGGCTACGAATTTATTTTATTTGCTATGCTGTCACTCCAAAGTGCTATTGTGGACTCCCTTTTTAATCTTGAAGTGGCGCCAGTGAAAACGAAATTATATTTTTTGTCCTTCGCACTTGTGTAATCGCCAGCACCGAGGATATATCATATACAGATAGCTATAGCTGTTGTCAAAAGGGATCGGAGGCCATACTCCAAAGGAGTTGTAAAGGCTTATAAGAATTGCTTGATTCAGCTTGATTGATATCACTGCCAGAAAAAGAAGCAAAATATTGAAGTAAAATGTAGAAATGGGCAAAGATAAGACAAATGTAAAAAAATGGGAACAGTAGATAAAATAGACAAAGAAAATTATTAACACTACTCCACAATTATAATTGATTCCTATTGTTAAAGTCATAAAATAGTAACAGGCGCATCTAGAAGGGTCGAAAACGAGCACTTTTTGCCAATGACTATATGGGAAGTTTACTGCAACGAAGTTACACGTAGGCCCCTGGTTGGTAGGAAACTCGTGCACCGATGCGTGGCGTGTCACGTTCTGGCTGTCAGCGATTCGTTTGCATACCGAACATCTTCACATTATGGGTGACTTAACAATCAGGGCGAAATGGTACATATGCAGCTTCGATATACGAGGGTTGGGGCAGAAGTCATGGCAACTTTTTTTCTTAAATGTAATCGAATCTCACAATTTCATTTGTGGCTCGAAAGAAATGCTGCATTAGAGCGTGTTCACATCAACAGATGGCTCTGAAATTGTAATAGAAGAAATCAGTTTTCGGACTACCGCCGTGCGAGATGAATGTAACCCATTTCGAGCAGCGTTCAAACTCCGTTCTCCGTGGAAGAAATGATCGAGAATGCCACAGGGAAGTGGTGGAAGTTTGTGGAACCGGTCAGTCGCGCGATGCGCAGGAGAGTTTCTGCGAAGACGCGTAGCAACCAGTCATCAGTAAAGCATGTGACGACCTGTGAATGTTCTGACCGATGTGGCACGTGGAGTAATCAAGCATCTGGCTAATCGGGCCTTTGTGACGAGCATGTAATGCTTTTGGAATGCGAATACGTATACGCTAAACCGCTTTGGAGCATGAAACCAGAACTGAAATTTCAAATACTTAATGAATTTGAAAAAGACAATTTTGGCGTGTCGTTAAATATCCATGCTCTGAGTTTTTATGCCCTTGTCCTTTCATGTGTATATTTCACATTTTCCACCCGTGCTCGTATTTCTCTCTCTCTCACTCGCACTCATTCACACACACACGCGCCCGCGCGTACGCGTAATATACAACTCCCCCTAATTATTACAAAAGCGCCCTGGATTGTATCAGATTCCCAATTGTATAACGAACTCAGCATTGCTCCAATCTTCTTCACTTTTCCTTCCTATCGTATCAGTTCTACCACAAAATTAAATAGACTCCTTTAGCCGTCCATTTCAAAACTGGTAAGCAAAAATCCTCACGGAAAACATAAAATGAAAACCCCCACGTCAATTGTTCGACCCATCTTAATTGGACTTAACTCAATGTGTCTTTTCTCGCGTACATTTATTAGCTCGTATATTAAATCAATATCAATCATTGAAAATATCAACCAAAACACGTATCATGCTGCTGGGAGCCTGCTGATCAAGCAGGATTATGTTAAGACATATCTCTCCCTTCAATAC